TCATGTGCTTTGTTCATCAATGCACAATGAACATTTGGCTGTGCAACATTGCCATTCTGTAGTAAGGCAGCATAGCAGAAAGGAACATGAGTGTAAACTTACACGATGGTCTGGAAACCACCAAATGGCAGAAGTAAAGTTGCACAGATAACATGTTCATTTGTGCAAGGTGTGCATTGCAGTTGTGCATCCTATATTTTGCATTGTGATGCAGTCCAGCTGTGCATCCCACATTGTGCATTGTGATGCTTTTTGGTTGTGCATCCCATACTTTACATTATGATGTTTTGTGATTGTTCATCCCATACGTTTCCATTGTGGCTGAGCACCCTATACTTTGACTTGTGATGCATTATGGTTGTGCATCCTGTACTTTGCATTGTGATGTTTAGGGGTTACGCTTCCTCTTCTTTGCATTGTTATTGCACATTGTGGTTGTACATCCTATACTTTGCATGGCAGTTGCGAATTATTTATTTGGCATTGCATGATGGCACCCAGTAATCGATATGGGTTGCATAGTGTTGCTATTCTGCATGTAGCATATCTCCATGTGTGGAAGTTTAAACAGCGAGGAGGCTGAGTTGAGACCAATGTCCCTTTTATACAGGACTTTGGCGATAACTTCTTCCTTTAACCTCAAAAGAACATCCAGAGTAATTACTCCTGTATCTACCATAATAAGCTCATATGTCTCCAGGCCTTCACTCCAAGACAACCAAAACCCACTCTAATAGCTGCCTACTCCTGGGCACTTTTCTAGCCTTCCTTCTTGGCTGGAGTTCTCTTTACTCCAGACAGCCCATCTTCTCCAAATTGAGGATGCCTCAGTTGGAGACAGGCTGGATGGATGTGACTATCTTCCAGTAACTTCTTGTCCTAGCCTTATTCTGCCATTCGGAAGCAATTGTAAGCCCTCCCTTCAGCATACAAATCTCGTGCAGCCCAGGAAGCTGTGAATAATTTTAAATCCCGAAGTAGATACATTTTATAGATTTCTTTCTGTATTTGCAAATTTATTTTCTTCATCTCCAAATCTATCTATTTACTGAGAGGGTACCTCCTGCTTACTCTATCTTGTTTTCAGGCTTCTCGGCTGGACTATCTGCCCCTTCACTTCAGCATACTTTGCCTCCTTCCTCGCCTTCTGAAAACAGCCGTATCTACATGAAAATTGCTCTCCAAACAAGCCAGGGAGGTAATTGGCGGCTATCAGGTGGCTGGGATGGAGAACGCACGCGGCATCCGTTTGCAGAGAAATAAAGAGAAGCGAAAGCAACTCTGCCCTTTTGTCAGGCCTGGCGTGCTAAAATGATCTCGCTCTGTGGTGTGCATGATAGTTGGTGGAGATGGTGAGGAAAACTGGAGGAGGTGGCTTTGGAATGAGTTTGCACAGCAAAATAATGGACCTACTGAGAAAAGAGAGGAGAGGGAGAACCAGAAAGAAAGAAAGAAAGAGAGAGAGAGAAAGAGAGAGAGAGAGAAGTATTGGCAGGCTTAAGTTTGGAGGAGAAACATGGAACTTCACCGATGGCTGGTTGACATTCTGATTGGCGGGGCAGAAGGCACAGCCATCAATGGTAGGAGGACCCAGGGCAACAGAGATAGTCTATTGGTTCACATTCTGATTGGCGGGGTAGAAGGCATAGTCATCAGTGGGAGGAGCCAGGGCAATAGAGGCAGTCTATTGGTTCACATTCTGATTGGCGGGGCAGAAGGCACAGTCATCGATGGGAGGAGCCAGGGCAATAGAGGCAGTCTATTGGTTCGCATTCTGATTGGCGGGGCAGAAGGCACAGTCATCAATGGGAGGAGCCAGGGCAATAGAGGCAGCCAGCTGGTTGACATTCTGATTGGTGGGATGGAGGCATAGTCATTGATGGTGGGAGGAGCCAGCAATGGCTGGCATCAATTTGCTTTGTGCGTTGTGTGTTGCACATTGTTGCACATTGATTGCACAGTTGGCATGGTCATGCGTTGCACATTACACATCAATGTGCATCACAGTTCTGTAATGAGATGATGTAACCTAATGGAGGTGTAACTTTTTGACTGCAGAGTTAACACTACAATGCAGCATCTCACCCCACATTTTCTGTGTGTGTGTATGTGTGTAATTCAATTTTATTTTATTTGTACACAAAAGTCTTGGGAACCGATCAGGGCAAACACTGCCTTTTCCCAGGGAGTACAGAAACCAGCAGCTAAAGGGATGCTTTTCCTGCGATCAAATCAGTAAGTGTGAGTTATCGGAAAGGATCCTGGTTCTTTGATTCACAAAGGCTCTTTTGATGGCTGCAGAGACAGAGAGTGTGGCATTTTTTTCCTTAGCAGCCTTTGGTGCCTCTTTCTTTTCAAAACACTCTTTCCGCTTGTGTAATGTCGCAAGTCTTCCTTCCAAACTGTATTATGCACTGTGATGCAGATCTTTCCATCTCTTTTCCTTCTTCCTTTCTTCTCATCCCCTCTTCTCTTCCCCTCTTCATCTCCCTAAGTCCTTGCTTCTCTTTGCTTTCTACAGCATTCAAACGGAGCTTTGATCTCACTTGAACTGTCCTTCCTCGCTTCACCCTTCCAGATTTATTTAGGCTTTGGCTTATTAAAATAGATGAAGACTGCTCTTTGATCTTCCCTTCATCTTCCCCAACCTCCCCTGCCTCCCACACCATCCCTGCCAGGCTCCTGGCAAAGTCGACACTCTACTTATTTGGCCAAGATGACCAATACTTTTATGGAGCTGGCTGACAGGCTTTTCAAACTCTGGCAGCACATGGGCTGGAGAATCCACTCCAAGTTTTGCTGAACTTTCAAGGAACTATCCAAAGATCCTGAGTCTACCTGGGTTGGGTGGTGTTTATCACCTTTAAAGTTCAGAGTGAAACCTGGCCCAGTGCCATGCAAACCTATGCCCACCATAGGGATTCAGGAGGCAAGTGACCATTCAGAGTGGATCATATGTAAGAAGCAGTGGCACCTGATGCTCATGGGGGGCTGCAGTGTTACTGTGGTTGGTGTCAACTGGTGTAGATGGGAGCTGCAGTGGGGAGATGGTCTACCTAACTCTCCTTCTTGCTGTCTTGTTTGCCTGCCCCCCAGCCACCCATCCAATGCCAGGCCAGACCATTTAGGGTCTGGCATGGCTGCTGGAGCAAGCATGCTCCTCAACAGTGGTCACTGCTGGGGGAGTGAGAAAGGGAGGTGACACCCTTTCTTGTTCACCTGGCAGTGGTGCTTGTCCGGCTGGATATACCACCGCATTTACATCCCCTTCTGGGATGTCACCCGGTGCAGTCTGCACTCCTCGCACCCTCCTAGTGATGCTCCTGGGAGGGCTAGTGTGCAAAAGGAGGAAGAGACAACATTTCCTGCTGCTCCAGAGATTAGGACCCAGAGCAATGGATGCAAACTACAGGGAAAGAGATTCCACTTCAACATTAGGAAGAACTTCCTGACAGTAAGAGCTTCTTGGAGGGTCTCGAGGTAGAAAATTGCCCCTTGGACCTGCTGAAGTTGTCCCTCCTTGCTTTAAGGACCCCTGCAGTGGTCTCTCCCAATGCTGCAGTCTTTTCATCTGTCTCTTCTTAGGTTGTCCTCTGTTAACCCTCCAACAGGATGGCAGGAGGTCAGATTCTGCTGTTTGTTTAAACTCTGATTTGAACACAGCAGCCATCTCTGAAATCTGCAGAGGAAAAGCGTCAGAAATAGGTCAGACTGGCATGAAACAGTGATATGTCAAAATGTGTGTCCAGGATCAAAGAGTGGGACACAGATGAAGCAAAAAAAGGAGACCCATGTGTCTCCCCTGGCTTCCACCATTCGAACATCCCTAAGAGAATTCATGCAAATACCTGTACCTCTACTAAATTTGCAAAAGCTACTTAATTTGCAACTCAGGTCTCGGCTTTCCAAAATGTGGAGTCCGAGATTGCTGAGGTGCATTACTCTTTCCTCTCTTGTCTCAAACAATGCACAGTTCTGGCCACACACTGAAAAATAAAGCAGGGTGGCTGTCTGTCTGGGATTCACTTGAAAGCAGAAGGTGAAAATAAAAGTATGAAAAATAATGAAACCATTTTGAAGCAGGAGGGGAAAATAAGAGGAGAAGATCTTGTGGTGAGGAACATTGCCCTGGGGACTGAAACAACTTGTTAGACCTTTAAATGCGACA